GGGGCCGATCAATTTCCTTTAAGGAACCCGAATCCAGGTACGAATTCGATGATTTTGCTGCCGATGATTCGGTTTCCATTTCCATTTCGAACTTGTCATTCCAGAGCAACCCTTTGAGTTCCTTGTGCACAGCAGAGTAAAGATTAGAAAGTAAATAATCAGGGGCATCAGGGCCATTAAACCCATCATAAATTCCCACAAAAACCCAGCCATGCTCCTCTGAAACCACAACATGAACTCGATCCTCACCCGCTTTCCCTTGCGCCCAATGAAGATTTTGGCTCCCCATTGAGTAATCTCCACTGCAATCTTCATTCTCATTGCTCAAACTCACATGGCTGCTCAAATTAGTGCTACTCGGAGTCGCATTCCCACCACCCATCTTCTCCGAATCCGATTCTTTGACCGATATGCCTCCTTTCACCGGCGCAACACTCGATTTCTGCCCACGACTCACAGCACTTGAAATCGCTCTTCTTATAATCTTCATCAAGCCCCTTCTTTTGGGTTTGGTTTCAATCCCAAATGAGAGACTTCTCTCTAATCTCTCGCACTCTTTCTCAATCGGACCCGAATACAGCCCACGATCAATCGGACCCGATAAGTACCCTCGCTCTATGGGGCCCGATAAGAACCCTCTCTCGATCGGACCCGAACTCGCAACTCCCTGATACGACTTCCGGGGCACCGGCTGCAGAGGTATGGAAGCGAACGAGGTCGAGCTCTCGAACCTCGCCGCTCGGTCGCAGCCGGCGCTGTACGGATAGAGATCGCAGAGAGAAGTGGAGAGAGGGGTGAATGCGTTGGCACTGACTGAGGCTCCGGAGATTGATCGGAATGTCGTCGGCGGCGGGTTCGGGTCCTCCGACGAAACCTTCGAGGACGACGTTTCGGAGTCCGGCCGGAAGTAGCAAAACGAATGGCCAAAACCCTCGTCGAGTGGGTCCGGTACGCCGACGGAGTTGTCGTGTCGCTGGGATATTTCTCCGGCGGTGCAGAAACAGCGACCAGCTTTTGCGACTCGGTTTCCCATTCGAAATGAGAAAACGAAAAAAAATGAAGGAAAGAATTGGGTTTTGTTGATTGGAGTGTTTGAAGGTGTTAAATTTGACTGTTCATGGCTCTCGGCGCAATTAGCAACTCAAACGGAGGAGGGAATGAGGGAAGTCACAAATAAATGGTTTTTGTTCTGTGAAGAGAGAGAGAGGAGGAGGGAGAGAGAGAAAGAGTTGACTTTTTGAATGTGGGATTTCAGTTTCTTTGTTTACTTATTTATTACTTTTCTAAAATGGTGTTTAATTTAATATAAAATGGGTTTGAATTTATTTTAATCATTTTTAGAGGGGGTTGACCTTGAGTTGGGGGTGTGGCTTGAGTAAAAGCGTGTGGGGTTTGAGTAGAAACTTGTGATTAATTAATGGGTTTTTCGAAAAAGTCAACAACCCAAACAATGGTAATTCATGCAGCTGCTTGTGAGCTTCCGTCACTCTGCATCACAATCCGCTAAACATCATGCATTGGCTGGCATGGAGGGAATGACTTTGTGGTTTAATTTTTTTTTAAAAAAAATTATTTGTAATTCTTTTTTCATTTCGCGACTTAACGTGCAATTTCTCACTTATATTTTTATAATGAAAAAGTACATGATGACATTTTTTGAAATACCAATAACATCTGATTTGTTATTTGTGTCATTAATTTTCATCCTTGTTAAAGAAGGATTCGACTCCAAATTTGTAATGGTTATTTGTTGATTTGGTAAGATTCAAACTAAGAAAGGGTAAAAAAGGATCTTTAACAAGATAATATTAGGAAGAAGATTAATATGAACATTAAAAAGATGAATAGAGAATGTGATTCCCTGAAAAAAGTAAGATTTTAAATCAAAAAAAATTCGAAGCAGTCATTCGAATTCTTATGTAGCAAGTACAGCCCCATGTTTCCATTCATCATTCATGCTAAAGTCATACATTTTTATTTTTGAAGTTCTTATAATGAAGCGATGGAGTTGACTTTGTTGCAAGTGGGAATTTGACATTTGGGTACTTTTTGTTGGAGATGAGATTAATTAGCATGGATCTTGTATCCCAAAATCTGACAACCAAACAAAAAGAATAAAGCAAGTGACAAGCTTTACCACAAGCATATTAGAATTTAGAATATTATTATTTATATAAATGTAAGGATTTTGCCATTTGGTGCTTTTATCCCTGTCCATATGCATCCCATTCCCATGGTTTCCTTGTTCTTATCGAAATTGGTCGTGCATATTTTTTTTAGTGTTTAAAATTAAATGTCAATCAATTAAATATTCGAATATCCAAATTAACATGCGTGCCATTTTCTTTAGAAATGTATAATCTGAAGCTATTAACAATTAATTTGGAATGAAAAATCTACTCTCTCATTGTTTGTGCAAATAACAAGCATCACATAGGCTTCTGAATAATTATGTATGGTGCCATTTTAGGGAATTAGTTAGTTTTATAAAGTTAAATTACTAACTAGGCTATTCCAAATATGCGTCTTTTATGAGAAGAAAAATCCCAAAACATTAATTTCAAATGATTCATCTTGTTTCTTTTCAAATTCGTTTCGGATATATGATATCTTGTTATTTCAAATGCATTATATCTAAACTTTTTATTGTGGCATTAATGCATATATTAGCTTTTCACTTTATAATTTACCGGTAGGATATAGGCTTTTCACTCTATAACTTATTACCGGTAGGAGTAGATTAGTTAAAGCCACAATTCAGAGTCAAACATTTTTTTGATCATGCAATCTAAATGGATTCTTACAACTTGTTCACTTTGAAATCCAGATATTGCTTATGGGAATCCATTTGTTTTGTTTCTTTTTTATCCTTTGAAAGCCAAAAAGAAGCCTAAATGGGCTGAACTGATCACTGGATCAGAAAACAAATTTATGGGCAGCCCATGATGATCCTGCAACATAAATATCAAAATTTTATATTATTGCTAGAGAGACGAGAAAATTAGCCCAAAAACTTGCATGCAAATAAGACCAATCAAATGCATTCAAGCCCTTTTAAGGGAAGCACACATCAATTAAGAAAACATTACATCACAAAAATTGGGAAGCACATACCACACACACCTTGGCTGACTATTATTAATTCTTCTTGTTTTCCTATCTTAGCACATTTTGCCTAATCAGTCATAAAAATTGAGGAATGATCCTTCAAATTTTATAACAAGTTACATATCTTTCGGTGTTTGAACATTCCTATGATACGCATGTCATGTCATTCTAACTAAAACGCGTTCGTCCTTCACTAGTCACAAAAATAAAAATTTAGGAATGATTTTAGGTATTCGTTTGTAGTAACCAAATCATTAGCTAGAATGGAGCGTCCGCCCCCTTATATCCAAGGTCGAACAACCCCTCTCATAGATTCAAGTAGTTTAGCTTTGTAAAATTAAAAATAAATAAAAAATAAAAAATCTTCGAATGCATTTGAAAATGTTAATTGGTACTACTAGAGAAAGAGTTGGCGGGTAAAGTGGGAAGAAGAGTAACTAATTAAGGAATGAACGTAAAGACCAGACAAGTAAAATGAGACCCCAACCCGAAAACAGAGGTGGGTGGGGGGCTGAGTTTCCCAATACTTTAGGGGGTCTTCAATTTTTACTTGATTCTCTCATCTAATCTGCTTTTCAACCTACGGACAAACAAACATGAAAGCTTCTCCAGTTCTTGTCCTAAACGTTCATATGGGTGGCTGCTGCGATGAGGCTGGGGGACTCTGTTTTAGTTCACGGTTTTGAATTATTCATTCAATGGTATGAAATATGATTAATAACGATAATTACTGCTTACCCTTTTGTTTTTTCTCTTTATTCTATATGATTTTTGTTGTGGGATCAATTTTAAAGGGCTGAGAAGTTGAATATATATTTTTTCATTCCTGAATTCCATGTATTTCAAACTTAAAATCATCTGGGAAATATTGAATTTTTCTGAAAACTAATTTAGAATCTAGATGCATCTTTAGTTTCCCGTAATCAAGTACCCTCTATGAGCATCAACCAGACCGAGATTAGGGGAATGCCTTATGAAAACAATTGAAAGGAATTTTGCTGCTTTAATTTGTTGTTTGGCGTATAGAATAGATTACATGTTGTTATTTGGGCCCTGACCTCTTTGATGGCTAAATATATGCACCATTGCACTCAGTGTTGAGGAATTGTTAATACATTGAACTGAAACTCTCTCTCTCTCTCTCTCTCTCTCTCTCTCT